CTCTAAGAATTCCGTGCAATGTGTTTAGTTTCTATGTCACTTTATTTCCAAATAAGATCCATTGTTTTTTGTGTGGTCAATTATATATACTTAAAACAGCATTGATTTCAGACCATACTGATACTGGTGATCTACCTTTAACGTTAAGTGTTTTAAAAAGTGGTAAACGTTAATTAGTGGACGCGATCTAGCGTCTTAATGTTTACGAGATTAAACAAGTATACTATATACATCTTACAAAATAAATATCAGTTAATCAATAGTAATTTAAATATCATTTTTTTTTTAAATATAGTATACGAGAATAAGATAAAAATATCCTTTAAAAAAATAAAAAATGTTAAATTTTGAAATTTTCAGAATTATTTCATCACACAATCAACTATATATTTTATCAAAATATCAAAATTTTATTATTATTATATTACAACTTAACGTAAATGTAACCGTCAGATCAATTTAATATAAGTCAAACTTGGTTCTGTATCACTTCTTCCTTTTCGTAAAAAATGCCATTTTAAAATTTTAGTTTCGTTTTATAAAAAGTGTGGTTTTGTATTTAATACGGTGTTATTAAAAATTCAATATAGAACCACTTAAAATCGCCTTAAACCGCTTTAACCTGCCTAAAACCACCTAACTCTATTTAATAACAACATTGCTTACTTACAACATCTAACAGATAATCGACATAGTTATGACCACTCAGCACAGTATGAACAATTGTCTAGACGTTTTTTTAAAGTTGTATAGTATAAGTTTTTTTTCTTTCAGAAAGTAAAATTGTATATAAGTTAGTTTGTATTCGTTTTTGCAATGTAGCCAGTATATATCACTTACAGTCTTACACAGTTAACTATTTTGATGTGCACTAGACATGCACTTGTAGATTAATATTGGCTTGTTACTAAGTAAGGACATTCTCACACTTTATAGATTAGAGATCAATTTATAGATTTATAGCTGTCTAGCATATGTACTCACTAAATTATCTTCCTCTTCTCATGTTTCAAAAGTTAATAATTTTATGAACATAAATAATAAATATATATAGTTTTAGATCACTACATCATATAGATCAAAATGGGTGGGAGGGATCAAAGTGTGTGCCGTTTCTCTGGTCCGCTTTGGCTATTGAACTTATATTCTTACACTTTTTCTTTTAGACTACTGCGCAAGTCCCAATTTTAACTAACTTCTCTGCGTCACTCTGATTTCTATTTACACTTTTAACGGTCGACGAAAAAAATGAAACGTCTATGATGATCCTGTTAAAATAATTAAGAAAGACCTTGTACGATTGAAGCCAAACAAGAATTTCTTTATTAAAATAATAATAGAGAGAAATGCTTACTAAAAGATGAAACTCGAGATTCTGTACAGACCAATGGGGAAACTAAGTAATAAATCCGGTTTAAGTAGAATTAACTGAGATGGTTATGGAGGGAAAGAGATTTATATACCTAATTTTGACGATGAAGAGAAGTGTTGAGGCATCAGAGAATGTAAAAACAGAGGATTTAGATCATCCGTTTGTCCTGAACCACTCTAAAATGGCTTCTGCCTTTTGCACTGCAAGACATGTTCCTAGATGCCAATATAGCTAACAACTTATATCCTCATTTCCTCCTGCTTTGATCTTATTGATTGCCACCCCGATACAACCGGTCTTTCCCTGTTCTCCACTACAATACAGATGTAGTTCAACATAAAGAAATCTGCTTCATTTGAAAATGATAGAGATAGGGAGGTGTATCTGCAGACCCATAGATATCATTAGTAGGTCACAAAATTACTGCTAACACGAGGTGGAAATCTACTATGACAACTTCAGATTATTAACATGATGTAATGCGATGTAACAAAAATGTGATGACCACATGTTCTGTTCGACGGATACGATCTTTCTACATTCTCCCAGATAAACTTACGTAGTTGTGAAATGTTTTTTTTTTTATGTAATCTGGAATACTCTCTATTACTGCTCAAATACAATGGCATTCCTCAAACCCGAATAAACTCTAGATTGATTGTGCCACAAACCCGAATAAACTTACCAAAGTGTTGAGATTGAGCCGTTGTTCTTGGAAAATTATATCGCTTGGAATAAACAAATGTAATCACATCACAATTTCCAATACCTACACGAGACTTAACCTAATTTGTTTCCTGTTCCCTGTTTCTTCATCATCATTACCTCTGTATACTTCTCCTCCTTCAGTTTCATTGTTTGTCTCTATGCTTATGTCCATATGTTCTTGGCCTTCAGTTTCTTTACCGTCAAGAATACAATGAGGGATCTCCAAAAGTTGTACACCGCAAGCCTTTCACCTTCCATGTTTTATCATGGACTATGAACTCAAACATAAGCTCACTGAAAGTGGCTTCTTTGGCTTCAAGGAAATCCTGGTTTAGAGAGAAAGAATTTTCAAATATATATACAGATGCTCTGTATCTCCAAGTAGAGCTGGTATATGAAGTTGGTTTGATCCATATCGAACAATGGTGCCATTCTGCTTACCCCTAACGCGACAAGGCACACACATCAATGAATTCTCATCCTCTTCATCATCATCGTTGTGATCCTCGAGATTAATGTTGCCATTTGACAGCAAGATGCAAGCTTTAAATTTGAAGGACGAAGGAAGAGGCCTTGGAGTCAGGTTGATCGTTAGGGAGCTTGAAGTAGCTCGGTGAGGGAGGTGTGCAGGAACTTCCACTCCGGGTAACAGCGCATATTTGCAAACTGATGTATGGATGAGCTCTCTCAATGCCGCATATACTCAAAACCCAAAAATTCAAGATTCTCCAACTTAGAAATGTTTGGAGATATACTGTTCAGCTCCTATGCCAACAAATTCATCGAAATCCCTTGATGGTGTAAAATCCAACACACCCATAACATCTGAAGCAATTTTGTTAATCAAGTCAGCTTCATTGTCCCTAACAAAAATAGAAGCAGTCTCCATTAAAACAATCACCACCAAAAAAAAGCTACACACACTATGCAAGTAAAAGTAAATAGAGAGCGAACCAATTGCGAGAATGATAACCAGCTATACTCGCGACATCCTTCAAAGCTTGCCTCCATGCCTGCTTCACTTCTTCTGTTCTTCCGACACAAGTTTCCTCAAAGACATTTCCGAAATCTCCCGTCTGCTTTCTCACATCAGATGGATCAGCTTCATAGAAAATGGTCATCACTGTTTGTTGATTCTCTTCCTTGCACTTGATGATTTGCACTAACTCGTCCAAACACCAGCTTGAAGAAGCGTAGTTACTCGAGAGCAAGACAATGGCAACCCTTGATTCTCTGATCGCTAGAACAAGCTCGGGACCTATAGATTGGCCTCGCGTAATCTCATTATCAATGAAAGGTGTGATTCCTTTGCTTCTGAGCTCTTTGAGAAAGTGACTGAGAAAGGCTTTGCGAACATCTCCTCCACAGAAGCTCGGGAAGACTTGGTATATCCAATTGCGAGATGTAATT